AAAAGCTCCCTGTGTTTGCTAGTGAACTATCATAGTAATAAACTAATTTTGAACTTAGTATTTTATATCTAAATCACTCGGACCTGTGAATAATCATAAATTTTACAATCAGTTTCGTTAGTCGTTGGACCCCGTGCACGAGTACTTAGGTGATTACACCATTCAACGAATTGTATGGTTCATAAGAAGGATTAGTAACTGTTAAAACAACACCCAAATCTTTCAGTTCCTCCAACCAGGGGCTTTTACTTATGGGCAGTACACTTTTATATAATATACGTATATTGATCCAAGAATTCAAAATTACAAGTAAAATTCTCATTTAATTGCTTTAAATATATTTGGTAACAGTTATAATTATCTTCCTTAGAAGAAAAGAATGTTTAATCGTCTTTCAACGACTTATATTTCATCTCTTCTGCAGTATCTCTTAAAATGTAATACGTTTGTGAGCCAGTATCCCATTTCTCTTTATCAGATAAAGAGATAAGGTTGGCTATAAAGGTTTGAAGCAATACCTATGGATTTCAATTTATATTTGATAACTTAACATCTTTTGCAAGAGAAATCTGTTTCTTTCTTCTTTTGTATTTAATCACACATCTTCTGTAAATCTGTATTTAATCACACATCAAAGGGACTTTTTTTAAACTATAAAAGAGAAATTAAAAAACATGCGACATTTTCTAACTGAATGACAAGGCAAACAGAACAGTCAAAAGTCATTAATCCGGACTCGTCATTACTTCGGTGATTCCGGATTATCGATTTTTCCGGATCAGTTTAAATCTGGTAAGATGGCATGCAGAAATTACAAAATTAAAAATATGAAACCGTAATTTATGAAATAAAGAACAATTATGATCTAAAGGGTATCAAAATTTACAAAAAGAAAAAGCTTAATATTTATTTGTTTACTTTATTAAACATTTCTTTCAACAAGTTGTTTAATTGCTTCGCATGTTAATAAAATTGAAACTTGTTCAGAAAATTGCAACAGAAAAACTATTGATGTGTTTTCAATAATATATAGGAATTATAATAACGAGGAATTTGATTTAAATCATATCAAAGACGGAGTACACCGAGATGAAATACTACATTTAGTAAGGAATTATAAGCCAAATAAAATAAAAACATCTGCCCTGAAGATAAGGATAGTGCTGACAGATCAATTTCCAATTCATTGCGCGCAGCGGCGTCCCCCCCTCCGGCCATGAAATTGATAAACATATTTCGGATTTCGAAACATACTTTTGCTTTGTAGATCCTTTACATATTAGTAAATATATATCGGAAATTCTATTTGACATAATTGAAAGTTCAAGCTTACTTTTATAAAATTGCTGTAACAGTCTGCAAAAAATAATAAGCCGGATCCAATTCGAAGATTAAGGAACAACGCAATCTGCAACATTAACCGAATTAGATAATTTTAGCTTAGTTTATACTGTCCATTATACATTAAATGCACATGCGTAAATGTATTATGCGCATGCGCACACGCATATTCGCAGCCGTAAAGATCTTAACGCGAACGCGTAAATGCCTATGCGCATGCGTCAAAGAGACGCATGCGCAGAAAGTTTGTAGCTTTGAGGTCCGGATTATATTTCATTCTGATTTATGGGTGTCCGAATTAACGACTTTTGACTGTATCTTCTTCTTTCCTTGTACTTATAATGAAAAAACTTTTTCTTGAGTACAGTTTCTAAATGGCTGAGAAATTATACCTTGTTTGGATGAGCTCATATTCGCATTCTGCTTCATCCTTAGTCATTCCTAATACTGCTGTTGTTTTTTTTCTATTATTCAGATCTTAGAGTCATTAGGAATTAAGCAGAAAAGATGGAAAAATATGCAACCGCCTTCGCCGGGAACCACGGAAATTGAAGACCGCTCACTGTGCAGAACCACTACACCACGAAGGCACGCTAGGGAATGGAAAAAACCTTATATACTCCATTTAAAGGCGACTAGGGTTTTTAGGGAACCTAGTCGCCAAATCCTGGTGCTGAGAATCATCATTCACAACTTTTTAGTTCGGGCGCCACCTGTAGAGTCATTATGTTAATTGGAAGCAGAAAAGATGAAAAATGTGCAACCGCCTTCGCCGGGAATCGAACCACGGACCTCTGAAATACCGGCTCAGTGTGCAGAACCACTACACCACGATGGCACGCTAGGGAAGTGGGAGAAATACCTTATGTCCTTGATCTTGTTTTATGATTCAGTCATCAACAAAAAATTTCAAAATTATTTTAACAAAATCTGGGGGAATTTTATACTCAGTCCTATTTAGAATAATGTTCTTTAAATCAGAAATTTTTTGTTGATAATGACACTACTTTGCCAATTTCTTCTGCCAGAAGATTTTTAAGTCTTTTTTTATTGACATATTTTACTAGTAAAAACATCATTTAAGCGTTTAAATTTTCCTAACTTTACAAAGTTTTGTTGCGGACGCCAACTGTAAGATGTAATCCTAAAATTCAAAGAATTTTCTGATGCTAAACCATCTACCTTAAACTCCTTGAAAGGCAGTTCTTTCAGTAATAAAGAAACTTTATATATCAAAGATTCCCAAATAAAGACGTTTTTATTTAGAGCATATATTCTTCCAGGCAACTCGAGAGAATGCAGCATTGTAATATATAAATTTTAAGAATATTCTTTATAAAACAACAAACAATATTTTTTTTGGAATTTCTGCAGGTCCTAAATTCTGCTGCCCGGTGCTTCCATAAATTCTAAAAATTTTCCTGCCCTTAAATTCCGCTTACCAGTGCGTACCTTAAATTCTCAAAATTTTGGCATCCCTACATTTTGTTGCATTCTAATTTGCTAAATCCTGCCTCCTGATGCGGTCGCTTGGATTGCACTGACTCTGGTCACGGCGATCGGAGATCATCATTCGTTAAGTGGTGTTCGACCCGAAGGCCTTTACCACTACATGTTTATCCATCCCCTAAGGACCTGTAAAAGTTCGTTAAATTCCATAAAATGGAAGAGTCCTGTCACTTGTAAAAACGATGCAAAGTCTTCAGTAGTAAGAAGTTGATTCAGGGTGACGCCATATATCACATTCTTGGACTAAGCAATAATAGCAACTATTATTTTGGCATACTTTTACACATTATCGTAGATTGACACAGTATCGTACAAAAAATGGAAAATAATATATACACGTCCCAGAATTTTTTCTGCTTTCGTCTGAGGGAAAGTACCTATATCTTAATACTCATAGGGAAGTAGACTGTCACGTGATGTACGAATTTAATGATGATAAAGTCAGCAGCTTTGGTACCGGCAAAGTCTATAGTAGATGAAAAATGAGATAAAGATGAAACAAAATCTAGATTAAATAGTTGAAAATAACAAAAATAATACAAGCCTACCATCTAACATTATCATGTATAGTTTCTGGGCCGTTATGCCTGTTTCGATGGATAGTCGTACGCTCCTATGTTTTTAATAACTTCGTGAGGGGAGGAATCACATTTTTCGTAGAATTGAATGTAATCTTAGTAATTCGGCATCTAATGGTAAAATCTTTAAAGAATTATGATGACGTGTTCTTAACGAACCACGGAGAGTTGGATAGAATCTGAGAGTTTCACTTGAAAACTTTGAAGCGGCTCTGTTTGAACGTTGCAGTAGCTGCCCACGCCGGAGCGGCATATAGAACTATGGATCGGATTGCCTGTAGATGGAGTGTTCTAAAGCGTTGATATTTATTCGAATATTTGCACATCATGTAATGCTCATTAAAGGCCCGTTTACACTAGCGGAACTTTGGTCCCAAGAAACGTACGCTAACGTTAAGTTGTTACTCCCAAGGATCCCACCCGTTTGCACTTGTAAGTCTGAAAGGCACGTTGTGCTTTGTCTCTGATATAGTAATAAAATATCATTTCTATTTAGGGAAAGCTAAAGTGCTTATTTGTAATTAAATAAATACTTAAAAACTATGCATGTTTCTATCTATTAAATCTCCTCACGAAACGAATTTTCGATGTTCTGTACACAATGTAGTGCTTTCAAAGATGTAAAAAGTGTTGTAAAATGATATGAGATTTTTCATGCGTGAAAGTACATACGGCATATATAATACTTTTAAAACTTGCTACTGATGCTATAGCCTATTGTCTTATTTACTTTTTTTTTTTGAAAAATTATTAAAATGAAAATTTATGAAATAGGGAGCATCTGTACAAGAAGTTAGTTTTTTTGTAGATTTCCCTCTTCTCTGAAGAGAATTTTATTTTGCTAGTTTAAATTTATTTTACTTGAGATTTTCAAATGTTACATTTTAAATTTCTCTAAATAGTATTAAAATAAAATATATAAATATGGCAGAGGAAAGATTTTTTATTAATAAAATTGATCAGATACAGTTCATCCTAGAAATACAGTAGAGATGAAATTCTTATACATACCTGTTTTCAACGGGAATGATGTATACACTTGGGGGAATGGTGTATACACCTGGGGTACCTGGGCCAAAGGCCCTACCTCTATCGAAAGAAAATTAAAAAAATTTACTAATTATGTGATCAAAATTACTAATATGTGAACACAAAGAAATTTCTAAATTAAAAAAAAAAAAAAAAAAAAAAAAAAAAAATGAGCTATATGAAGAGAAATAAGTAATAAATTACATAATAAGTTTTATCACAAATAACTTTAAGGTAAGTCATTAAATTATAATAAAAAGATAATAAAGTTAAATAAGATATTAACATTAAACTGCTGTCATTAAATTTCCATTTCTGAATAATTCTTGAAAAAATAATTAAAAATACCTAGTTTTAATGCAGATTAATATGAGTAGTATAAAATGTTATTATGTTTATTACTATTTATTAAATGTTTATTGCAAATTATTATTATTCAATATTTTCTGTAACAATATTTTGCGAAGCAATTTGTTATCATTACATGTTGCCACCTCTAATTTACGTCGTTTTTAAGAATTAAATCCCGCAAGCGCTATCCAGCAGTATGGCTTCGATGGCCTGAAGAGTGCAGTCGTAATGACATGTTGTCTGTTTCTTCTGTATTTAGGACATTGTTGTACTTGACTTTAATATGTGATAGTAAATTCTAAGAAGTTGTCATAATGTTGTACCGGGGCAGTTGATATTGGGCTTTAAATGAAGTTAATGTAAACGTTCAAGATTTGTATTTTACGAGGATAATCCGTATTTATGTATGATTCAAATACAAAGTTGATATGCATACGTAAAACTCAACCTTATTTCTATAAATGGATTATACATATTGTGATGGAATGCAAAATCATTTTCAGACAATGACTGAAATAATTTAAAAGTCATGAGTGTTTTCTTATGAACTCAAGGAAAAGATGCTTTGACTTGGGTATTGGATAGAACTTCATTGGTGTTCGTTTAGTTTCTATCCATTAGAAATAAATGTTGGAAATGTCCGAATACCAGTGGTAATATTGTTTTCAGATTATATTTATTTCATAATTTGAATTAATCTTTGTCAAGTTACAGGACTTTTAATATTGTACTTGTTTAGTAAATTAATACTGCTAACCAATATTTTTCCTGAGCTATGTGAATCTAATATGTTAAGTTTCGTAATATTTAGGAAGATATTTTATGTTGATACATTGAAATTTTCTATGAAATGGTAGAGTTAAAATACTAATTTCTATTTTCAGTTTAGTTTTATTGCAGAAACAAGTTCAATTAAAAAACAGATTACGAATTGCTAGAAGTTTCAATTGTAAAAATACAGTTATGTCCATTTAAGGAGTTTTAAGGTATATAGTTCATGTAAAAAAAAAATTCATAACATTTTCCTTTAAATAACGGTAGTAAGTTTAGACTTCTTTTCTAGAAAACACAAAACAAGTGTTAATGACATAAAATAACAAATTTAATTAAAAAAAAGATTTATTTTGAAAAATGTTTATAAAAATATTTCATAATGCTCAAGAGTCAAATCTATGTGTCAGTTGTACTGTGTAATCGATTTCTGCACTTAATGTTTGCTAAAAAATCTCATGGAAAATATATATTCATTTAAACTAGTTCTAGCTAAAATTATAAAACATGAAGTGCCATGTTATCTAAGTTTCTATCTTTGCTGTTACCATTATTATAAGTATTCATACAAGTTCATTGTTTAGATTAAAGGAAAACCGCTTTCTAGTTTAATGCTAGTTTAATTTAAAAAGAGCATTCAATTATGATTCCCACAAATCTTTTTTAAGAAAATTAAGATTTGAAAACTCAAATCTTCATGCTTTTCTTATTTGGATATTTCTAATGCTAAACTAAGAAAATCATGTTGAACCTTTTAACTCAAAGCTTTACGGCAACAAGTTTTATGAGGTCCAATAAAAGCATTCATGAAAAAAAAAAAAAAAAAAAAAAAAAAATGTGTTTTAAGTTTTAGCTGGAGATTTATATGTATCAGTTCATAACTCTTAAGTAACTCTAAAAGCTAACAAATTTAAGATTTAAAAAAAAAAAAAAAAAAAAAGTTCTAAACAGAATATAGCATTGTATGCTTAGTGCTTGTGTAATCATGCAGTAATCCTGTCTTTTACACTTGCTTTGGTTTAAAACGATTCTAATGAAAGTGAAATATCTGTTATTCAGTCTTTCTCCTACTGTGTTGAGAAAATTAATTTCAAGATTGAAGAGTTTTTAAATATGTACTTACTGGTATGTTTTAATTGTGCACTTACTATTGTGTTTACTAAATATGATTTGTATCTTCTTGCTAAATATTGGTGCATTTTCAAAATTTGTTTTCATTAAACCCATATTTCAGATTTATGCATAGTATAAAACTTTTACAAACTAGGTATTACATAGAAGCTTTGTTTAAACTTAAAACTTGAAGGCTTCCTTTTCCCCCCCCCTAACTTCCTTTTTTTATGCAAAGTTTTAAGGATCTTTTAGATTTGAGAAAGTTTCGAATTTCTCCCCTCTTTATTAAAAAGTGCTGTTCAAAGTTTTGAAATATAATTCAAAATTAAAAATTGAAATTTACCTATCTTACAGTTAGATCTAAATTTGATAAAATTACACACTGTTTATAATTACAGGTATCATGAAGTATGTAAAACTTTAAAGGTGATGTAATATAAATCATGCACTCTGACTCGCACACGTGAAAAAAAAATATTACTGAGGAATTTTTTATTATTTGTAATGTAGTTGTAAGGCTGTATAGATCATAGTTATGCCCCAATATCTGTGATTTCAAGTATTCATAGTATGTTGTGGGACTAAAAAAAGAGGTGCTGTTTAGATTAGAGGAAAACAATAGGTCTACCAAAAGAGAAAAATTACCTGTGAAGATCTTTGAAATATTTGTGTGGATTCTGCAATTAGCCAGCAATTGGATGTCAACTGGAATGGAATGATGTGTGCACGGAATGGTATTGAACTCTAAACAGGTGGTCCAATTCAGTATTTTGTTTATAGATTAAATTTTGAAATCTAGGGATTTTAAGTTTAGTAATAGAATTATGTAAAGATGTACTCTAGGTGAAAAGGGAATTTTAAGTGTTAATTTAAGTGCGATAGAAACAAATACGTAATCTCGTCTAGCTCTTAAGCAAAATTAGTAATTGCGTATTTTTTCAGTGATATTTGAAATTTTTGTCACTCTACAGAATATATAATTTATTCTAAGAAGAGGATTTAAGTTAAGGAGCCTCGATCCAGTTATCTCAGCTTCTTAATGTTTATTTAATCTAGACGTTAATAAATCTATTTTTTGTTAAAACATTTATGTATTATTAATTTGAGGTCTACCTTGGTCACTTCATTTGTTTCAACCCTAAGGTTTTTTTAAGAAACTCCGAGATTTGTTTACCTGAGCTTATTTATTAAACACAGTGCATATGTAAAATATGTGTTGCTTATTATTTTTGGATGTTTTATTGGGTGTGATCATTTGAAGATGCTGAGAAATTCTTCAACTCAGTTCCTTTTTATTTTATTTTCATATATTTGTCTGCCACCAGTATGTCATTTTACAAACTTCTGATTATCATTAAAAAAAATTCAACACCAACTTTTTGAAATACATTTGTGAATCTTGTGATTTTGTACAGCAAAAGATCTTTTCAAATTTAATGAATATGTAATTGCTTAACAAACTGAGAGATTTAAAAGTAATATACACACACCATATCAGTGGTACCAGCGACCTTTAGTTTAAATTTTAATAATCTATATAAATTTACTGTATTGCATTATGCCAATACTTATCAAACATAGGTCATAAATAACTAATAGCTTATTATTTTTCTTGATGGTCACCAGTGCACTTCAGTTTATTTTTATCAACATATTTTAAATTAATATTTAATTTATAATATGTCAAACTGGCAATTTTTATAACGATTTGCAGCATTCTTTTAATGAATAAAAATATGTTTCCAATGTTGTGTATTGCATACCTGGTGCAGAATTGTTTAGTTTTACTAAAATGATTTCTTTGTTGGAATTTTTTTATTTAAATGCTATAGTAACAGTAGTCCTTTTATCTCTTCAAGGGCATATTCACTTGTGGATTCATCACGGGTGTCAACTTTCCTCATTTCTATACTTCTCATAGTGTATGGTAGCTTCAGGTAAGCAGATTTTTATTAAATGAGTTATCTTCATCTTAATTTTATTTTCAGAAGGAGAGAGATTATGTCAGTTTTAAAATTTTTGAAAAGCAATGAATTAGGATCAGGTGTGATTTTGGAACTTGTATATTAGAAAGGTTTAAAAAAATTGGGGTTAATCTTCGGATTATGGTAACTTGGCGATTTTTTGGCGACCAACCCTGCTTCAGCAACCTGTTAGTTTTTTTTGGACGCCATTTTGTTTTCACAAAGTAAAGGCATGTTTTTTTTTTTTTTTTTTTACTCAAAATTTTTTTCCAACAATCTGCTAGCCGAATTATGCTTATGCTAGAACTTTTATGGAAAAAAGTGCTTAATCATGACGAAGATTAGGTGCGAAATTGGAAGAAAGTGCAGAATCGCTCACGGCTCGCCGCGTTTCTAAGAATTGCACATACACTGTATCCATGTACACGTCGACCTATTTTCACTTAAAAAAACATTCCAGAATTGCACAAAAATGGCATTGCGCACACTCTTGACTTTATCCATGTACACTGCTAAAGTCCTAGCTAGTAACCTTTATCGCCTTACCAAAATGTCGCCAAACTACCTGTTACCGTATTCCAAAGATTAGCCAAAATTGGTAATGCATTAGAGTAAGGAATGTAACAAATGAACAAATATGACAGTTTTGTGAAACCATGTAAAAGAACTAGGATGCCATATGTAGTCAATATTTAATTTTTAAATTTGTGAAACTGCATTTGTTACTGAAAATCCTTTCTGTGATTAATAAAAGTTATTGCCAGTCGATGATCCTAATGTCTTTCATTTGTCTCATTATAACAGTGTCCTATTCAGTATGGTATAATTAGTTCTGTAGCATAAGTTACTTTATCTGGGCTACATTTTGCTTACAAATGAATTATTTTTTTATTTCCTTTATTTCCTTTATTATGAATAAAAGTTTGTGGTTTAAGAAGCAGTATATATAGTAGGTGCTAACTTAGATGAGTTACTTTTGTGCTTATATGAGTTACTGATGTGACATTTTACTTACTTCTACCTTTCATCTTCTTAGAAATTTAAAGAGATTAGTATCACAATGGCCAGGCCTACCTGCATCAAAGTAGATAGGATCACTAAACTTTAAATTATTTACCCTGTATTTGAATCCCCTGAAAGAACAGTTTGTGGAGTTTTAATAGTTTTCCTCATATGTAGTGGATATATCAGCCAGTTTTCTTTAGAAAATCATTTACAAAAGCATCCTTCCTTAAGGCAAATAGCCTTTACATGTTTTGCTGTTATGAATAAAATAAACAAAAAACAAAAATATAAAAATCTGAAAGCTTTCAAATTTTATATTATGCCCAAAGGTGCATGTTTTTAACATTTTGTGTGTTACATTTTCTTATTAAATATCATGTTCTTTGTGCTTAAACCATAAAATTCAGTTCAACAGCAATATCAGAAAATATTTAAAAGAGCTTATCTTTAGAATTTATGATACTCAGTTTCGTCAGTCGCTGGAGATAAAAATGTTTTTTTCCCCCGTACAATGTAGCCATTGCTCGCTTTGAAATCACCGAGTTTATTAATTGAAAACCCCGAAATACTGTACAAAACATGAAATAGATAATAAAACAAATTCCAAATTTGTGCTTTCAGATGCCTATATTCGGGTGGAAACATACATTATTGAAAATTTGCTAGCTGTACGTACTGTTGTTTTATCACAATGCGAGACATACATACATTTATGCATATTCTTCATTATTTTCTTTATATATAATGCAGGGCTCTAACATTTGGTGGCAGCAATTTGAAAAGTGAACCGACATTTATAGTGAATCAATGCACAATGCCAAAATGAAATTAATAACCCTTCTGGGCAAATTACCCCCTTTGGGCTTTTTTTTTTTTTTTTTAAAAAAAAAAGGTAGATAATTTTATAAGAACTGCTTCAGTTAGAGTGATGTTTACATATTATAATTTCAGTACTTACACAATGTCCTGTCGACCATGAATTTGTTGCCAAGCAACATAATATACCCCAATTTTGCACGAATATTGCGTAACAATAGAGTGTGTGCTTTCTCTTGCAAAGCTGTCCCTCAGAACTTCGCTCCCCCCTACATACGTCATTCGAATGAAGGACACAGAAAGAATTGCAGCCATTTTTCAACTAGTTTTAAGAGGGACAGCTTTGCATCGCCACAGGTCAGTTTTTGTTTCTTTTGTTACAACTTTTTCTTGGTCTTAGCAAGACCCACTTAGTTTGTTCTCATCTTAATTTTTGTTTTATTTTATTTTAATTAGTTTTTCATTACAGATTTCTAAAATCTATAATTTAAAAATTAAATTGTTAATCTTTAAGCTTGCAGGCCCAGCCCATATGTTTTTGTATTTTTAGGACTAATAGCTCACCGCTATTTATTTTCGTTTTTATTTTGATTTTAATTTTGTTTTAGTCTAGATTTAGGAAGTTTAGGTATTGTTTAACATATTTTAACACCTTAATGTGTCATTCTGTGCGGACGCGTCGGGAAATTGGAACAGAGAATTGAGACTATTAAAATTTCTAAGACACTTTGTCTAAATTTTAAAAAATTTTGTTACGAAAAAGTTTCAATTGTCTGTTTCGGCGAAACGCGTAATGGAGCTAGCTTGATTCGACATTCAAATAAATGAAATTTTCTTTGAAAAGCCACTTTGGAAGTCGAATTGGCCTAATTTACCATTTTCCGCTTAACTTCTTATCTGATTCTGTTTTTTTAATGTTTTACATGTCTAATGGTTTGATTTTCATATGTATTAATTTTTTTAAAACGTGTTGAACTTTTTGGAGCAGCAGCTCTTGGTAACTTTTAGGCGAGCTTACTACAATTTTTATATTTTACTTATTTTGCAGCATATTGTGCAAGATGTTTTCTAGACCAAAATTGGTTTTTTTTAAATTATAATTACTACCTTGCTTGATATTTTATAATATAAACATTTAGAAGAATAATGAATGAGAATTTAGAATGATTATTTTATTTAAATTACTTAAAATATTTAATTTTATTATTGATTTCATCATACAGTCAGAAGTCGTTAATTCCGGACTCGTCGGGACTTCGGCGATTCCGGATTATCGATTTTTTCCGGATTATAGATCATCAGTTTAAATCTTGTAAGATGCATGCAGAAATTCTAAAATTAAAAAATATGAAACCGTAATTTATGAATAAAGAACAATTATGATCTAAAGGGTATCAAAATTTACAAAAAAAAAAAGCTTAATATTTATTGTTTACTTTATTAAACATTTCTTTTTAATGTAAGTTGTTTAATTTGCTTCGTTTTAATGTGATAATATTTCTCTTTAATTCTATAAACATACATAATTTCTTGTTCAGTTACAAAGTTCCGCTGTTCAAGTCCTGTTAATTTGCTGTGCCGAGAAGAATACCGACTAATTTGTCAATCGAAATTTTTCATTTTCACTAACCTCTTTGTCACATTCTTCATGTCTTTATCCATTTTTTGCGCAATTCCACTTTTGTTGTTGGACGTCGAAACATACTTTCGTTTGTAGATCCTTGGAAGTTCCAGCATCGAAATTCTATTTTAACATAATCGAAAGTTCAAGTTTACTTTTATAATATTGCTCTTACAGTCTGCAAAAAATAATAAGCGGATGCAATTCGAAGATTAAGGGGAACAACGCAATCATTAACATTAACTGAAATAGATAATTAGATAATTTTAGCTTACACCTTCCGTTATACATTAAACGCGCAGGCGAAAACGTATTCTGCACTTGCGCACATGCATATGCGCAGTAGTCAAGGTCTTATGTGCACGCGTAAAACGCCTGTGCGCATGTGCCAACGCGGCGCATGCGCAGAAAGTTTTTAGCTTTAAGGTCTGGATTATACATCATTCTGGACTATGGGTGTCCAAATTAACGACTTTTGACTGTACTTTCTTACATTGTTCACGATTACCAAATGTAAGTTTTCATTCTTTCTTTTCTTTTTTTTTTTTTTTTTTTTACTTCAGTACATCCTGTATTTACATTAGCTAATAACAAATGTTAAAAGGCTAAATCTTTTTTCAGCCGGTCAAATAAAAACCACATATAGGAATGGCTACAATTAAATAATGAATTTAGTGCGTTATGAGAGCCTTCGCAACAATTTGTAGTTTTAGGAGATTTTTTGAAGGCTGCTTCATAAATGTTCAACTGAGGGACATCATCAAAGGGCCTAGAAATGTTAATTTTACTTCTAAAATTTTAAATTTCTGCAGAAATTTTACAACTTTTTTGGCTCCATAACTACATTCAAAGACCATTTTCTATCGATACACATCAAAAGTACGCAAAAATAGAGTAAAGAAAAAAAAAAAAAAATTATTATTGTCAGTTACAAGGAAAAAAATGTCATACAGGGGCAGTGGTATAAAATATTACAGTACATGCAAAATTTTACTACAGTGTTCATGCTTTTATTTACCGCCACTGGAAAAGTTAACTTGAGCATTTGTCCATGTGAACATATTTCATGTGAGCTTTTTTCTGTGTGAGCATATTTCTAAGTGAGCATTTTTCCATGCGAGCTTTTTTTTTCTATGTGGGCATATTTCCTTGTGGGCTTCTTTCCTGTGAGCTTTTATACATGTGAACATTTTTCCTGTGGGCATTTTTCCGGTCACCCATCTTGTTACCATAATTTATTTTATTACCATAATAATACCTTAATTTTGACATATCATCTTACTAGATTTAAACTGATGATGTAAAACTCGAAAATTTCTGAAATCTAGAATTACTGAAATCCTGATAAATCTGAATTTTGGACTTTGTACTATATATACTATGTGATAAACTACTGTTATTACAAGTTCATTTGGTATTTTTCAATTTTGCCGGCTTAGGCGATAAAGTAGCCAATAGTGGTACAACTGATGCCAAACAGAATATCCTCAATGGAAACTTTTTACACTTCATTTTCAAAACAAGTTCCAGC